ACCCCCCCCCCCCCATGCACCCGAGGTTGCCTGGCACTCTTGTCTATTTCCAATCTCCAGGAGGATAACTACATGATTTTCTTCAGGTTCACCTTCTTATTTAGCTTCTCTAGGATCACGAATAAAAGGCTCAAAGACCTTTAATTATGGCTAGAATCCACATATGAGTGAATACATACCATATTCCTCTTTTTGGGTCTGGGTTACCTCACTCAGTAAAGCGTTTTCTATGTCCATCCATTTGCATGCAAAATTCAAGATGTCATTGTTTTTTACCGCTGAGTAAAACTCTAATGTATATATGTTCCACACCTTTTTTTAACCATTCTTCTATTGAGGGGCACCTAGGTTGTTTCCAGGTTCTGGCTATTACAAATAGTGCTGCTATGAACATAGTTGAACGAATGCCTTTGTGGTATGATAGGGCATCTCTTGGGTATATTCCCAAGAGTGGAATTGCTGGGTCTTGAGGGAGGTTGACTCCCAGTTTCCTGAGAAACCGCCACACTGATTTCCACAGTGGCTGCACAAGTTTGCATTCCCACCAACAATGGATGAGAGTTCCCCTCTCTCCACATCCTCTCCAGCATAGGCTATCATTGGTGTTTTTGACTTTAGCTAATCTGACCGGTGTAAAATGGTATCTCATAGTTGTCCTGATTTGCATTTCCCTGATCGCTAAGGATGTTGAGCATGACCTTAAGTGTCTTTTGGCCATTCGAAGTTCTTCTGTTGAGAATTCTCTGTTCAGATCAGCACCCCATTTTTTAATTGGGTTAATTAGAGTTCTAGTGTCTAGTTTCTTGAGTTCTTTATATATTTTGGAGATCAGGCCTTTGTCTGATGAGGGGCTGGTGAAGATCTTCTCCCAGTCCGAAGGTGGCCTTTTTGTCTTACTGATGGTGTCCTTTGCTTTACAGAAGTTTCTCAGTTTCAGGAGGTCCCATTTATTCATTGATTCTCTTATTGTCTGTGCTACTGGGGTTCTACCTAGGAAGTGGTTTCCTGTGCCTATGTCTTGTAGACTACTTCCAACTTTCTCTTCTATCTGGTTCAAAGTGGTCAGATTAATGTTGATGTCTTTAATCCATTTGGACTTGATTTTTGTGCATGGTGATAGATATGGATCTACTTTCATTCTTCTACAGGTTGACATCCAGTTATGCCAGCACCATTTGTTAAAGATGCTTTGCTTCTTCCATTGCTGCCTTTAGCTCCCTTGTCGAAAATCAAGTGTTCATAGGTTTGTGGGTTAGTATCCGGGTCTTCTATTCGATTCCATAGGTCGACTTCTCTGTTCTTATGCCAGTACCAAGCTGTTTTCAATACTGTAGCTTTGTAATAGAGTTTGAAGTCAGGGATGGTTATACCTCCAGAAGTTCCTTTATTATATAAGATTGTTTTGGCTATCCTGGGTTTTTTGTTTTTCCATATAAAATTGATTATTATTCTCTCAAGATCTGTGAAGAAGTTTGATGGGATTTTGATGGGGATTGCATTGAATCTATAGATTGCTTTTGGTAGAATTGCCATTTTTACTATGTTGATCCTCCCAATCCAAGAGCAGGGGAGATCTTTCCATTTTCTGGTATTCTCCTCAATTTCTTTCTTCAAAGACTTAAAGTTCTTGTCAAATAGGTCTTTCACTTCCTTGGTCAGAGTTATCCCAAGATATTTTATGCTATTTGTGGCTATCGTGAAAGGTGAAGTTTCTCTGATTTCCCTCCCTGCTTCTTTATCCTTTGTGTTCTTTAGCCCAGTATACAATATTGTATATCAATTTTTTGAGTCTTATATTTTTAAGTATTCATGAATGTTAAAACAACAATTTCAGAAAATTGTTCATTTAAAAATATTACCCATAATTTTCTATTTTAAACTGTGTTCTGACTTATGGAATGACTTTTAATTTTATACTGAATATGATTGGAATTACATGTTAGGAAATGTGTTTTTCTTTATGTATTAGACCTTTTTATAGTTCCCTTCATATGAACAGATTAGTAATTTTTTCCTAAATTAGTATAACTAATAATACTGCTTAATAGTTTAAAGTGAGTTACTCAAGCTTTAATTTTCATTTAAGCTTTATAGGAAACCTAAGAGATGAGTATTTCTCAGTTTTTGGAAAAAAATAGGTATGCAGACTATATAACTGTTCAGTGAGCAAAACTATTTTTTTTGTGTGTGTGTATGTGTGTGTGTGAATGAGCATGCCTGTGTGCACATAAAGAGACTAGAGGATGACTTTGGGTATCCTCTGTGTCACTGTCTTTCAGACAGGGTCTTTTACTGAACCTGTCTGTCTCTATGCTGGAGACCAGGCAAACTCTCACAATGCTGTCTTCTTAGCCGCCCCACCTGCACCAAAGTACTGGGATTATAGTTCACATACAGTTATGCCCACCTTATCACTTGGGGCCTGGGATCTGAACTCAGATCTTCATGCTTACATGAAGTGCTCTTACCCACTGGGCCATCTTTCCTGTTCCAAGAACTTTTCTATATTGTGTCTCCATAATCCAGATATACCATATGTTATAAAAGCCATGAAACAGAAATCTCAATAATTTTTCATACCTTTACGTTATCTTTGCCTTCCCTTTCTGTTCTTTGGACTTTTAATGTGTTTTTGTATTTTATCTGAAAACACTCATTTCTTTTAAAAAACAAACCCTTTTTAATATACTGAGATATCTTAAAAATAAAACAAAATACAATTATGGGAAATTCCTTTAATATGGAATATAGTATAACTAGAATTTTTCTCACTTTTCAAACATCTTATGCCAAACCTAATCAGAATGATTCTATAATAAAGTATTTTGGTAATTTCAGATCATAATCGTATACATGCCACAGATGTCCTACATGCTGTTTGGTATCTGACAACACGACCAATTCCTGGCTTACAGCAGAGCAACGATATTCATGAAGCAGAAACCGAAGCAGGTACTTATTCCTACAAATCTTTCTTTTAATTATTTAATTAGAAATAATAAAGCAAGCTGTCTTATGTAGTAGTCTTTAATCTCTAAAGTTTTTCTTTAAGTAAACTTTGGTACACATAAAAGATTGTATAAGTTACAATGTTTTACATGACATAAAAATTTTAACCTGTTACCATCTTAAAAACTAGATTTTGATCCAGAACTACTATATGCAACACATTCTTTTTTTACCATTCTACCAATATAACCATTATTATTTTAATATTACTACTATTAATAATAACCATTGGATATTTTGATACTTTTTGTTTCGGGTCTACTGTGTATGTTTAAAATACACAGTAATACCAAACCAAAGGAAGCATTTAAATGATACTTTAAAACATTCACAAACATTGTAATTTAAGTTCCAAAAATTTAATACTGTCTTTCATCATAAATATCATTATTTAAATAAGCTCCATGTATTAAAAAGTGCCTTTATCTCTTATTTGAACTTACAAAAGAGTGAAATACTCTAGTAAACTACATGTACCAGAGTAGAGTTTATATGGAATACAAAATTTGCGCATTCTGTAGTCTATTTTATACCTGTCTGTTACATTGGTGAGATAATGCTGAGTAGCTCCTCTGGACTAATAAGAAGTAATGAATGGGTGCTGGAGCGATAGCTCAGAAGTTAAGAGCACTTGCAGTTCTTCCAGCGAACCCAGGTTTATTTGCAACACTCCTGTTGGATGACAGCTTCAAGGGATCTAGGGAGCTAGGGGGTCTGAGCACCTATTGAGATTTTTGCAGCAAAATGATGGACAGCTGAAAATTTGAAAATCTGTACCTACAGGGATCTTTTGAGTTCTGATGGCAAACTTAACTACACCTGAATATTAAATCTTCACACACACACACACACACACACACACACACACACACACACACACTACAATCCTTTAACACTAAAACTGTGGATTTTATGTGCTACCCAGTGTATGAAAACCATATGAAAAATTTTCCACTTGTGTAAGTTGCATTTCAAGACCAATCCATCAGTGCTTATGGTATTTTTTACAAATAACTGTCCTTTCTGGAGCCTCTGTAGACCACCGAAAATCAAGCTATCTTTCTCAGATTGCTATTCTCCTTTTGGTAATAGTTCCTAGATTATTAATGTATTCCGGTGCATTTTGAAAACTGATCATGGGAACTAAGTTACAACATATTGTACTTAGTGCCCACTGATGATCGGCTTCCTTTATCCATACTTATGACTTCCTGGGAAAGTTTCTGGTACCAGCTAACTGAAGGAGGACCAAAAGGCCAGGCTTGCTGGTGGATCTTAGTCTGTGCCTTCTGAAAGTAGATGAATAGAGCTTTATAGGCTCGGACCGTGGAATCCGTGGGCTGGATAATAGGAAAAGTTAAAATTTACCAATGAAAAGTGTGTTAAGCAACAAGTCTTGCACACTTGGTCTAGAAAGAGAGACGTTTAAAGGAAAGGATCTGTACTCATTTTTAGTCAGTAGCTAACAGCTTTAGAAAGAAAAGGAGTAGAAATTTGTCCAGAAGGAGTTCTAGGGGTGTGTGTATAGAACTCAGTGGGCACTGAATGATGGATATTAGCTTTGTGGTGTCTTAGTTAGAGTTTACTATTACTGTGAAGAGACACCATGACCACTGCAACTGTTGTGAAGAAAACATTTAATTGGGGTGGCTTGCTTATAGTTTCAGAGGTGCAGTCCATTCTCATCATAATGGGGAACATGGCAGCCTGCAGGCAGGCATAGTACTGGAGCTGAGAGTGCTACATCTTGCAGGCAACAGGAAGTCAACTGACTGTCACACTGAGGGAAGCTGGAGAAAAAGAGACCTCAAAACCCACCCCCATTGTGACACACTTCCTTCAACAAGGCCATACCTCCTAATAGTATCACCCCTTTGGCGGCCATTTTCTTTCAAACCACCGCTTCTTCTCTATTTACATACACACACACAGACACGCATGCACGCATGCACGTGCACAACACACACACACACTTACACAACCTAATTTTTGTAGAACCTTGACAAAGAAAATTACCTAACAGTATTTGCTGTGGCCGCTTTCAGTAATCAACTGAATGAAGTGCTGTCTTCCCGTGCTTATTATCATTCACGTGTGTCTTCCGTCATGGTGTGTGTGTCCGCCCCCGTCTACCCCAGTTACCATTCAGTAGGCTTAGGAATACAACACAAAGATAGTAGGAGTAAGGTATATGTATGGGCTCCAGGCAATTAATGAATTTTTATTTCATTTTGCTTTTTACATTTTTGTTGTTTATTTTTCATATTAACACAGTACCTACATACCAAAGATGGTCCTTGAACTCCCAAGTGCTGGCATGTATAGGCATCACAATTCTTAACTAATGTTTTAGTTTAATAGGGATATATTTTGCCATTTGATTTTTAAAACTTAAGAGGGAACCTATAATGAATATAATACAAGAAAATGTTCAAGCTATTGACTTGATATTTATAATTAGAGTCTTTTTAGTAGCAGTTTGCTTACTACATAATCCATGTCCATATATTCATTTTGGTTTTACAATTGTTTTTAGAAGTGTTAGAGTACAGTTTTCTAAAACTTAGTATAGAGTGAAAACAAAAACAGTATGAAAATAATGAACACTTTAAAATTACATAATTTAAAATTATTTAAAATATATTTTGCAATTTATTCAAATGCCTTTAGCAGAAATGATAGCCCGAACATGTAGACTTGGCTAATAAACAAAAGGGGCAGCAGATGAGGTGCTGAACCAGAAGCACTCTGAGGGAGACCATACTGTTTCTGCAGGAGGAGACAGGAGAGTGCTCCCTGAGAAGCTCTCAGTGTCTCAGGCCGTTTCATGTTCAGGCGTTTTGTTCTGTTCCATTGTAAAGAACTCTGTGGGAGGGAAAAGAAGGAAAAGAAATTGTAATCAAGGCAGCATATGGAATAATTTTTGAGGATGAGAGTTGAAAAGCAGTGTCTGTGTTGAGGAGCTTAGTGTAGTGATATATTAAATTTCTACATGTTATATTGTTTTTATAATCAAATTTTATTTTTAGGCTTTGTCCTGTTAGATCCTTTTCTATGTCTATTATTTATATTTAAAATTTTTGTTAATTTTTTATTGAATATATTTTGATCATATTCTTTCCCCTCCTCTAATTCCTTCTAGCTCCTCCTCACCTCCTCTCAAAAAATTGGGGAAAACAACAACAAAAAATAAATAAAAAACTTAAAAAAAGAAAATTAGACAAAAAATAGCAACCCCCCACACACACCCCAAAATATAGAATCTGTTTTGTGTTAGTTAGCTACCTTTGGGCATGGGGCCTGCCCTCAAGTGTGATTGATATACAGCCACTGACACGCCACTGGAGAAAATTGATTTTCCTTTTTCCAGGAGGTATCAGTTGCTTGGTCTTCTTGGTTAGGGATAGTACTTCGTGTCCACTTCCCCTTCTTGGTGCTAGGATTCTATATGACTACTATATTTAGCTCTTTAAAATAAATGTTTAGAAAATTTAGAGTTTCTACAAATTAATTAGCCTGAGCAAGAAAGCATCATCTTGGCACCAGAATTCTCTAATGGCCTGCAAGATAAACAATGGGAAAAGTAGATTCTTTAAGTCATCCGCGTCTATTTAAGTTCAACAAATTAGTACTGATTTGGGGAATTCCATCCTTAGCATAATTGTCAGGAAGTTACACCCTAATGCTGGTTTGCTGCTTCTTGTCATACAGATTCCGATGGTAGACTTGGTTCAGGACAGATTGCTTACATTTCTTCGAAGAGTTGCTCTATTCCAGATGAGAGTTATGGCTGCCTGTCTTCAAACATTCCTGCTTTAGAATTGATGGCTTTGTATGTGGCAGCTGCCATGCACGATTATGATCACCCAGGAAGAACAAATGCATTTCTAGTGGCGACAAATGCACCTCAGGTGGGAAAGAAATTTTTAGAAGCTTAAGAATAATTCTGAGAATTTGTATTTCCCATTGCAAATCTCTCCGTAGTCCATCCTTCCTGTGAGTCATGTTACCATTAGACTCTTCATTATAATTAATTCATGAAAACACATAATGATGAATGCTAAAGGAATTTGGGAAAATCAGTTTCTTCAGCTATAAAAAATAGTTTATAAAATAATTTCATGTTTCATTAATTCAAAATCTTAATAGAAATATTTTTGTCTTTTATCAAATCAGTAAAACTCTGGCTGGCTCTTTTTCCTTCTCATTTGGTCCATGGTGTAGCTAAAGTTAAAATGGCCAAGAATATCACTCAGGGTTATCTTCTTCCCATCTCTCTCCTAATATTTGTCTTGACAATGTGACCTTCAGTCTTTTATATATAAATTTATTAGTCTACTGAGAACTTTTCCTTGGGCTGGCGAGATGCCTTACCAGATAAAGATACCTCCCACCAAGCGTGACAACCTGAGTTTGATCTCTGAGATGCCTACCCATCTGATAGAAAAAGAGAAGCAAGTGCCACACTCAGACCTCCACACATGTGCCATGGCATGCACATGTATCCCCAAACCCACATATACAGATATGCACATACAAATGAGATAAAAAGATCTATACTAATTTATTTTGGTGTAATTTTTTGTATGGAAGAAATATAGCTGATAAAGTATCAAATTCTGTTTGGGTCACTTCACAGTTTAAATCAAGTAGTATGAACTCCCAACATGAACAATGTACTACAATAACTTTAAACATGAGGTCCTGGAACTAAACATACCGCCTTTCGAAGAATTTAATATGATTTAAGATGTTGGTGTAGGAGATTGCTGCAATGTTGTATGTGTGTTTCTAACCATATGCCTTACATAGGAACTTGTTACTATTTCTGATGAATTTCCTGTCTTCACATTAGCATTCTGTTTTAACTTTAGTTCTTACCTTTCATTATTTGTAGCCATTTTCTGTTTATCTTTTTACTTATCTTCTTCAAGCAAGCAGGCCAACGGTTTTAAATGTAGGGGATAAATCCTTTTAATATCAAGTTGAATGATGTAGGTGTCTGTGTGTGTGTGTGTGTGTGTGTAACACACACACACACACACACACAGAGAGAGAGAGAGAGAGAGAGATGGATTGGGGGAACATATAATTTATTTCTCTGTTGAGACTTAATTCATGGCTCATGTTTTCTATAGTCAGATTCTGATAACTTTAAATGTGATTATTGATATGTGTTTGCTTTATAAGTATTATTTGGGAGAAACTACCTACCCAGGGATACATATTTGCAGTTTACAAGGTCAGTGGTCACGTTGCTTTTGGACCTGTGGTGAGGAGTCTGTAGTGAAGCAAAACTCTTGTGTCAGGGCAATCAGCATGTGAAAAGATTGGAGACTGGCATACCACAGTCCTTTCCAAGGGCATGCTCAGTGACCTAAGTCTTGAATTTACCTCGAGGTAGGAGAAAGCTGCCTGGACAGATTGAGTTATTAATATGGGTCTCAGTACTCAGACTAAACAGTTCTCAATACAGAAGTGTAGTAGGTGGCACTTAGCTAGGAAACAGACCCCATTCACATCCCCAGAGTTTCTCCTCAGTCAGAGACTTGGCTCTTTACAGCACAATTCATTCTCATAGCAACAGGTGACGTGGTCTTTCCTCAGCCTGTTCTTAGTGTCCCCATGTATTTGAAGTTTCTAGTATGGAGATTATATATAGATTCTGTTCCTGATTCTGGTTTTTGCTTCCATTTTATTTCTCTTTAGTAATTTCCAAGGACAGTTTGCATAGTAAAGGAACTGGAAACTTACTTTTATTTTACTGCCCTGACTCTGAGAGATTTTAAAGCCAGCTAACTAGCTTCAGAAAATACTTGAACAGTATGTTAAAATGTTACTGTGTGTATGTGTGTGTGTGGGGGTGGGTGCATGTGGGGGATAGAGGACAAATTTCGGGATTTCCAACTGTGCGCTCCAGGGATTGAACTAGATTATGAGGCTTGTGTAATTAGCACTACCTGCTGAGCCATCTTACTGATCCATGAACAGTGTGTGTTTTAATGACCTGGGAGTTTCATTACTTCTTTCTGATATGATGGAACTATTTTGATAGCTTATCGATCTTCATTATAGTAAGCCTGAATTTTTCAACACTGTTAAAGTTGTCCCCTTATGGAGTCTTTGGAGTAATGTCTTTTTAGGGGGATTTATGATGCTTAGAAGTCTCTGAAGATTGATGGGAGGCTTTTATGTGGGTCATAACAGCTTAGATCATTCCATTGCGTAATGTGATCACATGAGCATGCAGGTGTGCTTACATCTAGGCATTGATGTTCAGATAGCAGGTATAGGAATCATGCTCACGTATGTCTCACATGGTACTGTTCCCTCTGTTTTTGTGTCTTCCTTTCTGATTAGGCAGTAAGGACCAGAAAAACACAGAGTTTTGTTTCTGTTTCTTAATCCCTGACCTTTAACATAACTTGACATGGGCTTTTTAAAAAATAATAATAATAATGATAATTACTGCTGTAGTAGTTTTAAAAATGTTTTAGTTTTTAGAGATGGTAGAACCTTTAGAAATTTGATATTCTACTGGTTATGAATGTGCCTCAGTGTTTTCCACTGGTGTGAGGGTAGGGGAAAGCAAGCTCATACTGTTGAAACCAGGATATTTGTGGTCTTACCTATTTTATGCTTATTTCTCACTACTTAGAAACTGTGTCAGGAAGGGAATGCAGAGTCTGCCCTCAGACACAGGGATCGCTGGCTTATCCTGGGCCACTTCTTCCCCTTTAGTTAACTCTGTGTTGGCTACAAAATAGAGCTGTACCCCAACCCTGTTTTATATCCCAATGGATTTATTATCAAAAGCTTTACAAAATGAATGTTTACTTCAAAAGTACTTTTCCATCACCTGGGAGGAAGCATGATGTTGCAGAGTATTTGAGAACAGTCTTTTAGTTTAGATCTGATGGAAAGGTGAAGGAAAGGTGTCCTTAGCCTCTTTGCACTGCATTCTACTTATTTGTAAAACCATTACAACCTTTAATCATAGATATTAACATCCTGGAAACATGCCTCGTTTGTGGTAGGTACTCACTCTTCTGACCTGTTTTTGACATTAAGTTATTAAAGTTCCTATGTGTAAGATGCTTGTCTCATTTTTTTTCATTCTTTTTAGGCAGTTTTATACAATGACAGATCTGTTCTAGAAAATCATCATGCTGCATCAGCTTGGAATCTGTATCTTTCTCGCCCAGAATACAATTTTTTGCTTAACCTTGATCATGTGGAATTCAAACGCTTTCGTTTTTTAGTCATAGAAGCCATCCTTGCCACAGATCTCAAGAAACATTTTGACTTCCTTGCTGAATTCAATGCCAAGGTTTGTTACGTAAAGTAGTGCCTGATTTTGAAAAGGGAAATTGTTGTTGTTAGTGTTATAGATGAAAGGTGCTTTTTGATATTAAGTTGGAATTACATTATACATGAAGTAAGAGTAAATAACAGATATAAAGAATTTTTATTATTATAGCACTATGCCTTAAAATACTGTGTTTGCTATGCTTTTTTTGACAAATAAATGAATTTTATTGTAGTTTTTTAAAAAAATTAACAAACCAATTATATCCAAAGTTTTTATAACAGAAGTTGAGTTTACTCAGTGCCTCGTGAGACATTTTATGAAATTAAAGTTGTATTTCTAAGAAGCCTCTTTTATATTAGTAATTTTCTACTGCTGACCTCGCTGAAGGGCAGTTTCTCTTTTCTTCTGTTTGACAAGGATTTCCTCATCCCCAAACTGGCATGTGTGTGTAGTCACTGTGCTGTGGATTGAGGAAGATCAGCTCACAGCGCCCCCTCAGAGAATTCATACTCCCTGTGCCAACTGGAATCACTAAACTTCTCTGACAACAATGATAGTGGCAGTGAGTTCCATGAAGCAAAAAAAGTTGAGGGCTATTGCTTTACTTTCTTGAGAGAATTATGCCCTGCCCCTCTATTGTTCTCTAGCAGGAAACTTCTGATTCCTCAGTTTTTATTTCCAAGAGGAAATAAAAAGCATACTAAATTTGCCTATCTAATAATGATAATTGCAGTTACTTAAACAATTAAGTAACTTAATTAAGTAAATTAAGTAAGTCAATTAAGTAAATTAATATTTACTTAGCCTTTATTATCAGCCAGGCACTCTTGTTTATTCATCTTTGTGGCAGTATTTGACAAAATTACCATCTCCATCACTTCTTTATAGAGGAAGAAATGGATTTGAATAGGTTAAATGCTGAATTAATATCCTTGTGAGTTAAGCTTTAGACCGTGGAGTATTTCTTTTTCTTTCTTTCTTTCTTTTTTTGTTTTATTTCTTTTGATTTTTGAGACAGGGTTACTCTATGTAACTAACATTCCTGGCTGTCCTGGAACTCGCTCTGTATGTCAGGTTCGCCTCAAACTCACTGAGATCCGCATTTCTCTATCTCCCAAATACTGAAATTAAAGGAGTGTGCCACTGCTGACCAGCTAGAGTTAAGTTTCTAAGACTCGTGTCTTTGAACTGTATCTGCCTGGCAAAGCTAGAACTGATTTTTCCTTAGCTCTTTTAAGTGACCTTTCTTTAAGGTAGAAATAGCTACAATTCTTATGATTTATAGATTCATGTGTACATATATTTAATACACATACATACATATATATTATTCTCTGTGATAATTGCAAATAATGAAACCAAAGCTGATCATCTTTTAATAGAAAGTTATACTGTCTTTGAAACCAAATCTTAATACTATTTCAGTGGGACATTTTACCACGTAGAACTACATTACAGCAGATTCTGATTTTAAGGAAGCATTTCCTGAAATTTCTCCCTGTTCTTTGGACAGGAAACAATTTTATGGTAATTGGTAAAAAACAAACAAACATTGGAAACTTCTTGTGACTCAGAACCTGAAACGATGCTCTTTTGTTCAAAATAGGCCAATGATGTAAATAGTAATGGTATAGAATGGACCAGTGAAAACGATCGCCTCTTAGTCTGCCAGGTGTGCATCAAACTCGCAGATATAAATGGCCCAGCAAAAGCTCGGGATCTACATTTGAGATGGACAGAAGGCATCGTGAATGAATTTTATGAACAGGTAAGATGAAGCATGAGATTGGTGGGATTCTGAAGATCTGCCATATGAAGAAAGCACCTTTGGGAGCTTCAGTTGCTGTAGGAAGTGTACGAGTTGTCCTGAAAGAATTAAACATTGAGTGTACCCTGGCTCTTTGTGGTTTCTCAACTCTACCTTTGCTGCTAATTTTTTTTTTAATTTTATTTTATGTGTATGGATATTTTGCCTGCATGTATGTCTGTGCACCATGTGTGTGCCTCGTGCCTGTAGAGGACAGAAAAGGGCTTCAGATCCACTGGAATTGGAGTTACAGATGGTTGTGAGCTGCCATGTGGATGCTGACACTTGAACTCAGGTCCTCTGAAACAGCAGCTGGTGCTTTTAACAACTGAGTTAAACTACTGCTAACATTGTAGTAGCAAACAAAAATATATAGCTTATTACTTGCCTGGAATAAGGTGATTGTACTCTTAGCTGAATAGATAAGGACAGACTACAATTTTCAAGGTCACTTTCAAACTGAGAATCTATAACTTAAAACAGTTGATTCCAAATGAAGTAGTTTCCCCCCTCAAAATAATATTTTTATTAATTATTTGGGAATTTCATACAATAAATCCTGATCATACTCACTTCTCGTTCCTTCCAAGTTACCCTCCCACCTTATGCCACTCCACAAACAAAACAAACAAAACCCCCCCCACCAAGTCCAATTTGTGTTGCTTTTCTACTCATAGGAGCATGGTCAAACTCCCAGTGTCCGGAAAACTGAGAATGAAAGACATTGAAGGCTTCTGAAACAACCCTCCCCCCAAAGAAACAGTCTAGATAGGACTGTATTGAAGAGAGTTCTTAAAAACTGATAAAGATGCTGAAATATAGCATAACTCTTCATGGTTGATCCCTTCTGATGAGGATTGAGGAAGGACCAAATGACGTAGTTCTTAAGTTATTTTATAGTCTTCTCAGAACATATTTAACCATCTAAAGACACTTTCAAGTCTGTTGTAGAAAGACTGTCTTTGCATTGGAAGCATCCATGGGATAAAACTTGACAGAAAATAAAGGATAGAAGTGAAATCAAAGTAGATACTCAGTTGTTTTCAAAGACTTGAATTATAAACGTGCTACTTTTTTTTTTATATCTTTAAAAATCTTGACTTTAAAAGATTTTTACCCATTTGCAGAATCTGTGCTATTTGCGGGTGGGAGTGGGCGGGTTGTTCCCCATAATGTAGGTGAAAACTGATTTTCCTACAAGCTTCAAGTTTCATTATCTTGAAAATATCAAATAGCACCCACTTATACCTCTATTTCTTTGGAGTCCTTTACCCTAATAGCCATGAGTATTGAAGATATTTACATAGTTAGAGCTTCTGTGTGTAAGAAAATAGGAGTAATAAAACTGAGTCTGTCTGATCATGCGCACTGACCCCATGCTGTATTATAAGAGGTACAATGTCTTTTACCTACGTTTAGAGTTATATAATACCATACTGTGTAACCTGTTATTGAAACTGCAAATTACATTATAATTTTAAATTAAGTAAATATAGCCATAAATATAGTAATATAAGTAAATATAGTAATATATTAATATGTTATATTATATCCAATATATTATATTACATATATTACTTAATATTATATGATATGATTATATAGTCATAAATTAATATATAATGTGTTACATATTATATATCATATGATATGATATATTGCATATATATTACATATAGTAATATAAGTAAATATAGTCATAAATTAAGTAAATATAGTCACTCCAAATCAAATAATCTAGCTTTAATGTATTAGTTATAAACTATTAATTGTTGATATGGAATGTTGCAGGTTAATAGTAAAATTGTTAGTATTTACTTAAAAAATATGTATATATACATACATACATATATATCTATCTTCCCTGTCAGTTGTTCTAGTTTGTATAAACAGAATATCAGAATCCAGTTTTGTTTAAAATTTCTCAAATGGAGAAAAGACAAAATAACATTTTTTTTCTTGTACTGGTAGTTGATGCAGGTCTCAGGAACCCCTGTTAAACATGTGCCCATCAAGCCATACTCCATCCTAACAATAATCACAGTCATTAGTGTTTTGTGTAAAGATTATTTTGATGTAGACTGTGTTTTTAAAACCTCAAGATTCTGGGTGTGGTAGTGCACACCTTTAATACCAGCATTTGGGAGGTAGAGGCAGACAGATCTCTTCGAGTTCAAGGCCAGCCTGATCTAGAGAGTGAGGTCCCAGACAGCCAGAGATATGTAGAGAGATCCTGTCTCAAAGCACCAAAAAGAAAGAAAAGAAAAAACTGCAAGATAATTTTAACAGTAAACCTTAATGGTTGTACTTTTGGTAGTTAAATGTAATTTTTTTTTTTTTTTGAAATGCTCAGGGAGATGAAGAAGCAACCCTTGGTCTACCTATTAGTCCCTTTATGGATCGTTCTTCTCCTCAACTAGCAAAACTCCAAGAATCTTTTATCACTCACATTGTGGGGCCCCTGTGCAACTCCTATGATGCTGCTGGCTTGCTGCCTGGTCAGTGGATACAAGCAGAAGAGGATGATGATACTGAAAGTGATGATGATGATGATGATGGTGAAGCATTAGATTCAGATGACGAAGAAACAGAAGACAATCTAAATCCCAGTAAGAATGGAAGGAAACTATATTTTCTTTAATGTTATTAACTACAAATATTCTTTAATTTGGATTTAGATTTTGCATCTGCGGTACAGATATGTTAACTTCTGTCAGAGTGTTCAGATTCAGTAGTCAGGCTTTGGATAACTGCCGTGTGCTACTTCTATAGCACAACGGGGACTCTTAATTATGCTGTCCTCCAGCAGCTGCTCACCTGACCTTCTCTGAAGTGAGTCCTAGCAGTTAGACTCCTCATCTCATTCTCTTCGAGTATCTGAACAGCGGGGAGCACCACTTCAACGAATCAAAACAGTGGGGAGAAAAGGAGAATAAGCCCCTGGCTCTGAGAGAAGAACCAAGGTTTTGATATTAAGAATGAGTCATATAGCAACATATTTTTCTGAAAAAGACATTTAGTGGAAAATTTTTTAAAAATTGTCTTTGAAACTTAATGAAATTTCACTTCATGTTTATTTTAAAGTAAGATTTAAATTACATCTACTGGGCACTTTTTTCCTAGTATACTAAGAATCAGAACTATAACACAATGAGAGTTGTGCTTTTATCTCTTGGAGGTACTTCTCTGTAGATGCTGTCCTCCAACCAGTGCTCTTCCTGCTTCAGACACAAATGCCTTGTGTTTAGGGCTAGTAAAGCAGAGAATAACCTTATGCCAACTTGGGGTTAGTTGACTGGTTTTTCAGAATATGTAATATTCACCGGAATAGTAGCAATTACTTTTAGTTTACTGCATTAAAACATTACAAAGTTGAATTTTAACTTTGGATTGTTAAGATTTTCATCTTAGATTTCAGCACTATACTCCCTCCAACCCAGTATTCTCTGGACCTCATCTGTTAGTTTCTGTACAGAACAACCACTGTCACTCACAGCTTTGTTTGTCTGTTGTTCTGTTAGGATGTAAGCTCCATAGTGTGGATAATTTTTTTTCTTACTGTTCACATTTATAGCCTTAGAGCTTGCAAAACTACTTAGACTAGAGTGGACTCTTAGGCATTTGTGGAATGAGCGATTGAATTTTATTTGCTTTGATATAAATGTCTGTTTTCAATTTCACAGAACCCCAGAGAAGGAAAGGCAGGCGGCGGATATTTTGTCAGCTAATGCACCACCTCACTGAAAACCACAAGATATGGAAGGAAATCATAGAAGAAGAAGAAAGGCGTAAAGCAGAGGGGAACAAACTGCAGGTGGAGAGTACCTCCTTACCTCAAGCAGATGAGATTCAGGTCATTGAAGAAGCAGATGAAGAGGAAGAGCAAATGTTTGAATAGAAGAAAGCTTGTTTTGAAGAAGCCTGGGGTCTGGTGCCCGGGGTTAGCAGTCATTAACTGACCATTCCCATGTGGACAGGCCTTAATACTGTGAGAGAATCCTTGCTGCCCTGGCAGTTCTCACTCCTAAGCACTTTGATCACAAACTAGAGTTGGCTGCAGCTGACATGTGTTGCAAAGCCTTTCCTCCAAGCCTTCACTGGGTGTAAACAGTTGGTCATGATGCTGCTTTGCTGGGCAGTCTGCTCTTTACTTTTCATGGCGAGGGAAGGCTAAAACGGGAAATTCAAGAGACTTCAGCTTTCGAAGTGGCCATAATGCTTTTTATGAAAACAGGATTCATCTTGTATTTCCAAATATATCTTCTATGTCTTTGTTTTGGGGTCGAGAAAACAAACCTCTGCCTAATACAAAAAGGAATTTATTGTGGTCTTTCTGAGTGATTTCTGCTCATGGCAGTACACTGTTCAATGTGGTTCTCCCAGCTTCATCCATGAAGGACTGAGGACCTTTGTTATACTTAACAAAATCCAGGTGCATCAATTTCTGATGCTTTTTATTGTTGTGTATAATCTACTTGTGTGTTTTACTTCTGCCTAAAGTATTCAGGTTTGCTGTGGACATCAGAAGTCTGAATTCTAGTCTTACTGATTTTGTTCCATGGTTGAATTTTAAAGGTGTTTAACAATGAAGGAACTTCATTCTTTAGTCAAAACTGTTCTTATTTTTATTTTTGCTCAGGATAAGTAATTTTAAATATTTAGTTATTATAAACATGGCATAGATTTTCCAGGAAAAAAAATTTCCTAATATTGATGTTACCTTTTATAAAATGAGCAACATTTTAATTAAAGCCAAGAGAAAGGAGATAATCTTGGGCCTTAGTGCAAAATCAAATGAAACCAGTCCCATCAAAGACCTTGCCTAAATAATTGGTTATCTTTAGATATGTGTCTTAGGTGTCTTGTAGCCTTAGGTGTCTGGTTATAGAAAAATTGGTATTTTTCTTTTGTTAATTTCTTTCTGATCCAAGAAAACACGACAGAGATGACTCATCACTATGTAATAATATTAGAGCTCCACAGAAAACTGAATTCTTAGGTGAAGTAAATGATGGGAATACATGCTTAATTTTTACATAAAAACTATAAATAGTTCAATAAATAATTCCATACAAATGCATATAAATACCTTACTAAGAAAACAGACCACATTTATAATGTTTACATAACCTCATTAGAAAGTGGCTATGTGCCCTAGTTGTGAAAAATTATTGAAATTATACAAAGCAACCAAATTATACCAAGGTGGTAAAATGATTTCTCATTACTCTTGAAGACTGTACAATATTTTGGAGCCATTCAACTTGATACATAGTTAACTGTCAGTTTCCATAGTAGTTCCTATAGATTGTAATGCTGGAGTTTCCTGCCTACCTAAGGTATTTGGGTTGTCTACAAGGCTGCAGTTAAAGATCTGTTGAGTACTGGGGTTTTTGATCCCATAGATATCATATTTAATGAATCACTACACTTTATTTATTAAACATGTTGAGTGTTGAGTTCCTTCCTGTCACTTTTACTACCACACCCACATTTGTAAATTGGTTCCACCATATATTACTGAGTAATAAAACTTTAACTGATAATATATTGAATTTGCGTTTATATACATTCTGTGTGTATATTCCTCTAAAATATATTTTATGTCCTATGCAAATGTATTTATTCTGTTGCTTCCTTTCTTACAGAAAACAGTATACATGTGTGTTTAAGTTCATACATGTACAGGCATGTATTATGAGAAACAAGTCTCTAAATATTGTTACTTACATTTTTTATTGGAGTAATTTAGTTTTAAATTCTGTTTTGAAAGAAGTACATTTTACTTTTACTAAAAATGTTACTAGAAACTCATTTGAAAATAGTTCTTAAATTATTTAATCCTTGCTTAGTAAACTAAATCAAAAAATCCCTCCCAAATTAAAATTATTGAAATTACCCATGTAAAATTTTAAGTATTATGATTGAAAGTCATTAATGTGACAATATATCAAAAAATATACATGCTCCTGCTAGGTGGAGTCCTACTTGAGGAATTGTCGTAAGCCTTATAAGTCTGTGTGGGGTATGCTGAGGATAGAACCCAGGGCTGCTTGTCTGCTGTGTGATCACTCTGCTATTCTACAGTACCTCCAGTTCATAGTTCTTATTTTGCTTACTATAGGATCAGATTAATTTTTATTAGGATTTTATCACAAATCTGCTCTGTAAATTATTGTTATAAATATATAACTGAAATATCTATGTGCTTTCTAACATAATTTTTTTTCTCCATAGAAACCTATTTTTGTCATTGTTATTTATTTGATTATTTGAAAGCTGTTTCCAGCTACTCTTACCTACTTTCCTCTTGGTATTGACCTTACCTGCTTATTTTTTACAAAAGTCTGGCATTACTTAAGTAATCAAAAATTCTCTCTCTGAATTATAACTCATAGAAACAAACTTTACAAAAGAGGTAAGTAGAGCCAGTTGGCTCCTTTATTATAATTGCTGGGCCACTATGAACAGCTCTTAAATGCTTGTGGGTTAGCAGAGATAGGTAGGTCAGGAATGAAGTGGTTCTCTGGGGAAGGGAATGTTTTACACAGAGCACCGAAGAATTCAGTTAGTTTTGATATGATTGGAGTAGAAGAGAAACAACCACAAACAGAGGCCAGAATAGGGGAAATCATCTCCACATTGGACAAGCCAAGAGTTTTATGCTGACTGGAGTAGAGGGGAAGAAGAGGGACTGATTAGTGAGAGAGGGTGGTTAACAGTCTCTTCTAAAGCATGGTATGGCATTTAAGTTCCACTCTTTTAAGGAAATAAGAACCAGAGGACTTTTGATCTGAATGAAATAATTTTTTATATGGGGATCATTATCACACGATTTTGAATTGTTAAAAAGTTGTGGGTGATCATTGTTGGGTTTGAACTTCTGCCCTCAGCCCCAACAGACAAGACAGCTAAAACTTGTCAGTGCTATATAATCAGACTGAAACTTCAAGAGAATAGAGTCCCAACTTCTGTTTTGCTGAAAAACAGATTTTAGTCTGAGTGAATTGAGCACAGTAAGGAAGTCTCCCGTGTTTTCACCTAGAACAAAACAAAAGAAAAAACTAACCCTGTTAATCAATGCTTTTCAATTGTTCTCTTTCCGTATTCCCACCGTACAAAAAACCCATTTGCCACATAGTCTAGTAAGAGAGCGCTTTGTATATTTTTTTAGACTCAAGGGTACTTTGCTTTATATTTGACAGATAAAAACCTATGAGATATGTAACTGAATTTGTTATATAATTTTTTTCCTTTGACATTTCTAATTTTTGCTTTTGACAGAGTGGAAGAACAAGATTTAGAGACAGGGAGACCTTGTGGATTTTGACTAGGATAGGTTGTAGAGTAAAAGAGAAATTAATGGTCTTGAGATTTAAGACAAAGAATCAATTTCTTTGGTGATTAATTGGATTTGGTATCAAGGAGGGTGACAGATTTCTGATTTGGAAACTCAGTCTGAGACTGAGAATACCTGAAAAAGAGTAGATTTTAGATGCAGTTGAGGGCAAACAAATTAATTCAGATTGAAATTGAATAGAAGGGTTTGATATATTCTGGTGTAATTCAATGAGTTCAGAAGAGAGATAAGGACTAATAATGTCTGGATTCACTTGATATTGACAACTACAAGGTAGAGTCAGAATAAGAAGAGTAATAAGACTGGGTTCAGAACTGAAACAACTACATAGAGAAGGAGACTTCTAAGATAAAGTAGAAAAAGAAGAAAGGGCACAATCAGAAGTCCAAGTAAATGGATCTTTCAAGAAGGAAACCTCAGGGCTGGTAAGAAGACTCTGCAGGTAAGAATACTTACTACTAAGCCTGAGGAACTGTACCTGATCCCCAGAACACACGCAGTGGAAGAAGAGAACTCCCACAACTTTTCTTCTGATCTCCATATGTACAATCTCCATATGTCTCAAATAATTTTTATAAAACATGATCAGTAATGTATATTACATGCTGTCTGAAGATAAAACCATCATAATAATATGAAAATGTTTTGATTTTAACAAGAATGGCATCACCTATATTGTTTGCAAAAGGAATTTTGTTGTTGTCATGGGACATATGCCAGAATACTTAAAACATGTTGGAGATACAACAAGGTGGTGATATTATGAGGGATTAAATAATGTACCTTCCCATCACAGGGCTGTTCTGAGAGAAATGTTATTCTGAGTTTTACATATTTTACCAGGTTGTGCTGAAGTAGCAGGTTGTCCATCTTTGAAAATACTCTCTCCAGGAGTTCTTTGGTCTTCATGGCTTGATTGAAGAGAAGAATTTTAGAATGAGCCAATATGCAGAAGAGTTGGTGTTTATTAAAGAGAGATTTTAAAAATAGATTTAAGCACTGGGGTTAATTGAAAGGCACCCAACTCAGAGGAAGGAATAGGATAGTCAATGTGATTGGGCTTCCCAAGGAAGATTCATGCTTGCTTGTCCTAGGAGATGTCATATATATTATTACAGTTGTTTTCATGTTACATCTCAAAGTATTAAGAAACTCCCCACCTCTCTTTTACAAATGGGATTATAAGGTGGCCCTGGAAGTGCTTTGGATGGATTTATTATCTAATAAGATAAAAACCAGGGATTGTAAGGATTACACAGAATTTGAGTCATATCCTTTACTATAAATGGGATTTCTTGTGAGATTCCCAAGAAAGTATTTTTGCAGCTGGTAAAATAAAAACTTCTTAAAAAGTTACACCTTAAGAATGGTTCATTGTTATTTTAATAATATATAGGGTCTGAACAAGAGATAACTTGGCAGTTAGAAGTTTGTTCTGTTCTTGGAGAAGATCTGAGTTCAGTTCTCTGTACTGACACTGAGCAGTTCACATTACCTATAACTCCAGCTTCAGGATTTCTAGTATTGTCATCTGGCCTCTTGAGCACACAAACACACTCCCACACGAACACATAATTAAAACAGTGAATCTAGGGCTGGAGAGATGGCTCAGAGGTTAAGAGCACTGACTGCTCTACCAGAGGTCCTAGTTCAATTCCAGCAACCACATGGTAGCTCACAACCATCTATAATGAGAATGGTGACCTCTTCTGGCATGCAGGCAGAATACAGTATACATAAAACAATGAATCTTTAACGAAAAATCATATACAAAAAAGGGTCTCTGTGTTGGTCATTTTTGCAGTGAACATTCTCATGCTAGAATTCTTGACTTCCTGACAATAGGCTTTGACCAGACTCAGATGGCAATATCTTGTGTTTGGAGTGACTTGATACTGCTAGTGTCAACATTTCTAGCCATAGTTTTCATAAGAAAGGAAGTCAGGACCGCGAAGGGTGCGTTCACCCACTGATACAAGGGGACTGATCTAATGAGAGCTCACCAAGGCCAGCTGGACTGGGACTGAACGAGCATGTGATCAAACCAGATTCTCTGAATGTGGCTGACACGGGGACTGTCTGAGAAGCCATTGATAATGACACTGGGGCTTGTTTCCTCTGCATGTACTGGCTTTTTGGGATCCTAGTCAGTTTGGATGCTCATCTTCCTAGACCTGGAGGGAGGGGGGAGGAACTTGAACTTCCCACAGGGCAGGAAACCCTGACTGCTCTTAGGACTGAAGAGGGAGGAGGAGAGGGAGTGGGGGGAATGGGAGGGTATTGGGAGGAGGGGAGGAAGTGGAAATTTTTATAAATAAATGAATAAATAAAAATGTATAGTTTTTAATTTTGGACACATTCATTGCTACAATTAAATACAATGTAATTCTAATTAACTCACAGTTGCAAAGGACTTTTTGGCTTAGCAAACAAATTGACTTTTGTCTCAGCTTAATTTTCTTTATAGAAATCCTAGTATGATTGTTGCTCACATGTCAGGAATGTTATGAGAATTGATTGCTCTAGTGATCACTAAGACACTCTTTGTTAGTGGAGGTATATAATGCTTAGTAAACATAATTCTTTATCACTTTATTTGGTTAACAAAAACTTTATGTTTTTGTTTATTTTCTACTTTTAAAAATTGGGATGCTTTATTTGCAACATTTCAGTTTTTATTAAAATAGGTGTTTTGGAATTCTTTCCCCGGAATATTGCCTTGAATGTATTGTATAGATTCTTATATGGAGAGTTTAAATTGTCTTAAGGACTCACATTTTTATTTTTCCCCTTTTACCAAAGGTTATTTTACAACAAAAATTTAGGATTTAAGACAAATTTTGTTTTCTAGTTTTATTTTGTTTTTAAAACCCACCTTTACATTGTATCACTTTCAGAGAATAGTATACATACTATTTGTATATTTGGAACTTAGTGAAGTTTAATTTCGATATACTATATGCTTAATTTTCAAGACCTTTACAAGACACTTGTAAAGACTGTATGGAACTTGATAAATACTCACTAGATCTGCCTTGCTGCTGATGAAATATCATTCTTCTGTATTCCGTGTGTCCACCTGTTGATGTATATGTGTTTGCATGTGGAATTGTAAACAGAGACTACACTTTTGTTTCCCAGCTGTCCAGAACTGAATAATCACACAGAAACTATATTAATTACAACACTGTTTGG